AGGCGAAACTTAATCCGTCCGCATTTTCCTCAAAGTTTGGGCCTGGCTTGAGGCCCAATGCCCAATTGCAATGAAATTTCAACACCCAACGGAGATCTAGGCATATGCGGTCCTGGGGAGAACCACATTGGTGCCAGATTGACGCAACAGTAATTCATTCATACAACTTCTAACTTTGAAACAAATATTAAAACTCATGGCATATATGAGAATTACATTCAAGGTCAAGACATGCTTTAAAAATCTCGATTATGTTACTAAACTGTGTGTACAAGTTGCCCACCATTTAATAAGACTACACAGCCTTAAGCTTTCTGGAAAAAAAACGAGTGCAAGTATTAAAACCAAACTCACAAGTTTCAAATCTAATTTTAAACTTAAGTTCTGCTTACAACCCTTTAAACATTTAAGAACTTATGTGCGAATATGGACAATACTAAGCTAATGCCACTGAAATCAGTAAACCAAGTCTCAGATTTGTGCATAACTGAATTTGAATATGTGATGTATAAAAGCCAGGCCCAATCCAGACTTAAGAGCCCAGATACTGCCCAGGCCCAAAATCAGGGAATCAGACTCGAGTTCGAGTCCCTACCAGCAGCAAACCTGCTGCACTTTAACATGATAAATCTCCCCCAATTCCACTTCACATGCATGCTCAATTTTAACTATAGCAACTTTGCAATTAACAACATACTCCTGTAATTTGAACTCACAAACACATCATGGATCTAAAATCAATTGACACTTCTATCAATAACAAAACCTAGAGAATTGAACAAATGGAAATCAATAACTCTAACAGTAGCCCCATTACAATTCCAGCATTAAGACTCAAAGTTCTTAAGCATAACTTCACGTTAAGAATGCTGAGATAAGAAATTGACACTACAAACTGAGAAAAAAACTAAAGAGGAAGAACATCTGATAAAATGAAAACATAATCTGCATCTCTCTTCAACAAAGCACTTCATGAACTATTCTTTACATGCTTAAATCAGGGATATGTACCTAGAGATGGAAGGAAACAGGGATTAAGGATTAGCAGCAATAACAAAGATCAACAACAGGAAACAACCAGTGAACTAGTTTTAAACCAAAATGATGCTCAACCAGTCCACAAAATAGCTTCAATCGAGTATTAACTCAGCTGGTTTCAGTCCAAACTTAAAGCAGCTAAATTCAATCCATTTCAATACCAGATGAATCAGAAATGGCTTCAGCAAATTAAAAGCTAAAAAATCAGAGAAAGGGTTCAATAGAACAGTAGTTTTCCTGAAATTCTTAGCCGTGTTTTAATTTTATGGATCCTCTTTTTCCTAAGTCTCTTGGGTCTGCCTTTTAATGCAAGAAAATGTGCCTTTATGAGCAAGCCAATATGGCAACCTTTCAGATTTTAGTTTTTACCCTTTAACCCCTTTTCAAATTTGCTTTTAGCTTAAAGATCCCTAGACAATTTCTGTTTTGCTTAACTACCCTCAGTTCAAATATCAGAGTTTCAAAACAGCCCCCTCCCCAACTTCCTAGAAGCTTCCTTTTCAATTACAATGAGATTCCCTATACTAATTTCCCTACATTACCCTTTAAGACCCCTGTTATTTACCCTTTAAACCACTGGCAGACCCAAAACAGATGTGAGTCAAGGTGACTTGGTAAATCTAGACACCAAGTGAGGCCTGGCTTAAACAGCCCAATACAGTCAAGCCCAAATCGAATGAAAAGGAAACAAGGTTGTGGGCATTTTAGAACAATCTTTGTGAACTTGTTATCAATTTATCAAATGCAAACCAACAGATTGGGCTTGACTTTCGAGCTAAGCCATGACTAAAATCAGTAATCGGCGCCCAGAACCAAACATAAACCCAATGACTCTTATCTCCCTTTTTATGGAAAACAAAACTAAAATTGCTTGTAAATAGAAATTGAGAACCAATAACAGAATCGACAAATCAAGGAAAATAGATGGAAAGGAAACAAAAGAAGATGCTAATATCCTAGTGACTTTATCAGAGAAAACTAACAGAAGGGAAGAGGATGTAGAAAATAAATAAGAAACACAGAGATAAGTGAGGAGAGAGAAACCAAAAGAAGAAATAGCTCACCCTACGCCTTTGATAAACTCCGGCCAGTTTGATTTGGATAAAAAACGAGTGTTAGTCGGGTTGTTCTCGTGAGAACAACCGTCTAACACTTATTTCGGGTCGAAACGATCTAGATGCTTGGCGAATAACATTGACCTTGCATGACAGAACAGAGGTAAGGAAAGAATCAGGGTTCCGTTTTTTACGATCTGAAATGAAAGACCATTGGAGAGGATTTGGGGGAAAATGGTTGTAGTTTAGTGCTTAAGGGACTATGGGGATTATGTGGTCGAGATTTGGTGGTGATTTGGAGCTGTATTGCCGGTAACAATGGGGAATTAGGGTTTTAACATGGAGGAGATGAAGTACAGGAGTGTTTGGATAAACTGAGTGTCTTCTGAAGTTTCAGACACTTTTATGTGATTAAGATATATGCTTTAGACCGTTGGATGAAACAAGATGAAGGGCCAGGATTTGTTAAGGCAAACTGAACTCGAAACGACGTTGCTCCACTCCCTTACGATGTCGTTTCAACGGCCTGGGTGATGGACTACTTGGACTGGGTAAGACAAAGGACCTTGGGTCTGGCTTGGACGAGCTAATGGGGGGAGCATTTGGGCTTGGCAATGTTAGCCCAAAACACCCCTTTTCTTATTTCCAAACCCGTTCTTCTTCTTCTTTTTCCAAAATTCTTTTTAAATTTAAAAATAAAAATAAACCTAAATTAATCACTAATCAAATTATGCTATTACATTAAGTAACTCTAAATAACATTTACCATAAATAATTAAAAACCAAATTCAAGGAAAATTGCCAAAGTTCAAAATTAAAATTAAAAAGTGCAAAATAAACTATTTTTGTGATTTTCATATCTTATAAAACAAACTAATTTACTAATTAATCTAAAAAAATTTAAAATTAAACCCTAAATGCATATGCAACATATTTTGTATTTTTCATTAATTAAACAAAAATAAAAATGCACAGACCAATGCAAACAATTATTAGAAAATGCCATAAAATCTACAAAAATTGCAAATAATGAAAGGAAATTATTTTGTTTTGAATTTATGGGAGTAATTCATATAGGGCAAAAATCACGTGCTCACACCAGCTCCTCGGGCTATATCTTACATCCCAATAGGTACTCGCGCTCACTGGGGGTGTGCAGACTCCTAGAAGGGCCCCTTACGGCCTAAGCGCAATATCAAGCCATCTTATGGCATCATTATTAGGCTCTCGGCCTCATATCAACAAGCCACCTCGTGGCGTACATATCTCAGGCTCTCGGCCTCATAATCATAACCAAATATTTCCTCACAATATAGGCCCTCGGCCTTACTCAGTCAAAATCCTCACAAGTCACTCAAGCAATAGTAAAACATCATTCTCAGCCCAAAATATCATTTAAAAGATCATTTAAGTGTTAAAACAGTGTAAACATGGTTGAGTTATGAAAATAGTAGAATATAGCATGACTGAGTTCACATATAAAATCAAAACAGTGAGTACATCAATAAAAATCCCCTAAGGGTTCAAATAGTTGGCATTCAGCCCAAAACATGACGATAGGAAATAGATTTCAGTCAAATACGCGGTAAAATAGTCATTCGGGATGGACTAAGTCACAATCTCCAATAGTGCACGACTCCACGCTCGTCATCTAGAGTGTGTGTCACCTCAATATAGCACTATGATGTGAAATCCGGGGTTTCATACCCTCAGAACATCATTTACAATCATTACTCACCTCAATCCGGTCCAAACTCTAGCCCGCGACGCCTTTGCCCCTCGAATCAGCCTCCACTCGTGTCGAATCTATCCAAAATCAGATTCACGACGTCAAAATATGCTAAGGGAACGAAGCCCAAGCGAAAATAATTAATTTACAACACAAGTCCCGAAATTGCCAAAACCCGACCCTCGGTTCCACGTCTCAAAATTCAATAAAATTCACATCAATGGATTCCTTATCTCCCCACGAGTTCATACATATCAAAAGTACCAAAATCCGACCACAATAGGTCCCTCAAATCCTCAAGTCAAGGTCTCTAATGCCAAGCCCTAGTTTCCTCACTTTTTAACCCTTAAGTTCCATTAATTATAACTCTAATCCGTGAAATAATACCATAGGAACGAGTTTTAGGTCCAAACTCCTTACCTCAATGAAGTTCCCTTGAAATCTTTCATCAAAATCGTCCAAAAAACTCTAAAGGCGGCTTAAAATGGTGAAATAGCTCAAAAATCGTGAAGGACACAATTTATACCTTCTGGCCCAGGCATTTTCGCATATACGGCCATATACCCCCTTCTGCGGTACCGCATTTGCGTCCAAAGAGCCGCTTTTGCAGTTTCCACTTATTCTGCCCCGATCCGCATCTGCGATGCACCAGCCGCACCAGCACCATCGCAGGTGCAGTCCACTAACCACTTTTGTGGTTTCCTGCCTCCCTAGCTCCATTCCGCTTCTGCGGCTCCCTTCCACGCATCTACGAGATCGCACCTGCGGTCCCCAATCCGCAGGTACGGAAATACCAGAAGTAGCAAAAATCTGCATCTCACCAAAATTCCAAACTTCTCCGTCAACCATCCGAAATCACTCCGGGGCCTCAACCAAATACACCAACATATTCCAAAACCTTATTCAAACTTCTACCAATATTCAAAACACCTCAAACATCATCGATNTAAGTCCCAAATCACCTCCCGAAGCTATCCGAACTATCGGAACTCACATCCGAGCCCTCTAACAAATAAGTCAATATCCGGTTGACTTTTTTAACTTAAGCTTCTTCAAAAGAGACTAAGTGTCTCAAACCTTACCAAATCCTTTTCGAACCGGAGCCAAACAACTCGATCACTCATAGAACTGATAAATAAAGCAATAAAAAGCAAAAATGGGAAAAACGGAGCGGTAACTCATGAGACGACTGGCTGAGTCGTCACACTTTGAAAACTCCCCCTATCCTCTAATGGCTCGTCATTATCACCAATCTTCAGACATTCATCAAACTTAGTGCTTGTCAGTTTGAGGTTTTGCTCCATGGTTTTTTCTTTTGGTTTTGAACCTGCCAATCATGTATCTGAAATCATTTCTAAAGCATATTTTCTTTGAGACATAAGAATACCTTCAGTTGATCTAGCAATTTCTATTCCCAAGAAATATCTTAGGGCTCCCAAATCTTTCAACTTAAAATTCTGGTGCAGTGCTGATTTTGCCTTCTGAATTTCTTTCAAATAATTCCCTGTAATAAGCAAGTCATTTACATATAAAGTATCAATACAGGTTTGTCATTCACAGATTTGGTAAAGAGGGAATAATCATATTTGCTTTGCTGGAAATCAGCTTTTAACAAGGCTTGGGTCAACTTTAGGTTCTATTGTCTGGATGCTTGTTTCAACCCATATAGGGATTTAAGTATCCTGCATATTTTAGTCTCCCCCTGGCTACTAAAACCTTGAGGTAGGGTCATGTATAATTCCTCATCAAGATCCCCATTTAAAAAGGCATTATGAACATCCATTTGGAAAATTGGCGACTACTGAAAAGCAGGAGTAGCAACTACAATTCTAACAGTGGTAAGTTTAGCTACAGGGGAGAAGGTGTCATGAAAATCTAAACCTTCTTGTTGAGTGTACCCCTTAGCTACAAGTCTAGCTTTGAACCTTTCCACAGAACCATCTGCATTTTATTTTATTTTATATACCCATTTACACCCTATTGGAACTTTCCCCTTAGTTAAGTCAACTACTTCCCAAGTATGATTATCTTCTAGGGCTTCAATCTCAAGCTTCATAGCCTTGATCCATCTATCATCCTTAATGGCTTGAGAATAAAAGGATGGTTCTGTGTCAGTAGAAAAATAAGTAAGAAAAGCCTGAAACTGAGTGGGAAGATGAGAGTAGGATACAAAGTGTTGAAGAGGGTAAGATGTAGTAGGTGCAGAGGTTGATGGAAGTAGAGGATGGACATAGTCTGTTAGCCAAATAGAGGGCTTAGTGGTCCTACTAGATCTCCTAGGAGGAATTTGTACTTCAGAAGGTGAAGCAGTAGGTGCTAGAGATTGAACTACTTCTGGAAGAGAAGTAGATGATATGTTTTCTAGTAAGAAAAGAGAATCAGATGGTTGAGGTAATGTAGGAGAAGATGGTTGACTGGAAGTGGAGTCAACAAAGGTAGGAGTTGAGACAATTTTGTCAGGTGTAGCAGGAGAATGGGAAGGATAATAAGAGATGTCTGAGGAAATAGGACTAATAGCAGGTTTGCAAAGGAAGTAGTTTCTAGGAAATTTGAATGGAAAAATGTTTTCTTTGAAGATGACATCTCGACTGACTAAGAACCTATAAGCTTCAATATCATATACTTTGTAACCTTTTTGAGTAGGAGCATATCCCATAAACACTCCTGGTATTGATTTTGGAGTGACTTTATCACTAAAATTTGGTTTTGTGGCATAACATAGACAGCCCAAAGTCCTTATAAATGATCAAAAGCATGAGGACAACCATGAAACATCTCGTAAGGAGATTTTCCATGCAACACAACACTGGGAATTCTGTTTATGACATATGTTGCAGTTAAGATACAATCACCCTAAAATTTAAGAGGAATATGAGCGTGGAATCTCAAGGCTCTACTCACTTCAAGTAAGTGTCTATGTTTTCTCTCCACGACTCCATTTTGCTGTGGAGTGTGGACACAACTGCATTGATGTATGATACCCTTGGATTTGAAGAGATTAGAACAAAGAGTATTGAAGAATTCATAGCCATTGTCTGATCTGACTATTTTTATAGTGGTGGAAAACTGATTGTTGACAAGGTTAAGAAAGTCATACAAGATAACATACACATCACTCTTTAATCTCAAAAGATAAATCCAAGTCATTCATGTATAGTCATCAACAAGAGTAAGAAAATATCTGAAGCCATTGAAGGTACAGACTCTATAAGGACCCCAAATGTCCATATGAACAAGTTCAAAAGCAGAAGTAGAATTAGAAGTACTACTAGGAAAAGGTAATCTTGTTTATTTAGCTAAAGGACAGACAATACAATCATAAGAATCTATTTTTAACAAAAACTTATTTAAGGTAGGTATTTTCTGTAAGATTGAATAGGGAGCATGACCAAGCCTTTGATGCTACAGAACACTTGACTTATTCTGAACAGAGGTGGATAGACAGGTAGAATTGGAGGGACCAGCAGCAGGTGTTAAAGGGTTGAGAATTTAGAGTCCACATATGTATCTACCAATCCCCTTCACCCTGCCACTGAAGAGGCCCTGAAAGACATAAAAATCAGGATAAAAGTGAACTGAGCTGTTTAGTTCCCGTGTGTATTTGGAACCAAATAAAAAGTTATATTTAAATTGAGGTACATAAAGAACGTTATATATTGTTTTTGAGTTAAAGAGAGTACAAGTGTCTATGTGAGTGATTTAATACTATCTCCATTAGGCAAATGTACTGAAGCAGACTTAGAAGTGAGTGTAGGTGTATGACTAGATAATAGATTCAAGGAAGAAGCCATATGATATGAAGCCCCAGTATCAATAATCCAACTAGCTTGATCAGTATTTGACTTACCTGCCATATTAGCCATCACTTCTGGTTCTTTTTCCTTGCTTAGCATCTTTAGGATTTGCTGATACTGTTCAACAGTAAATGTGGGAGCATTTGGGTAATACATGTTTGGCTGAACCATATTTCCTGGAGGAATATTCTGCATCTCTTCCTTGACATTCACATTATGTGCTACAGCAATATGATTGTCATGCACTCCTCTCCTTTTATTATTGAACTTGAAACCTGGAGGGTATCCCACAAGCTTGTAACAGGAGTCCTTTAGATGTCCCCTTATTTTGCAGTAATCACACTGTAGGTTAAGATTCCTCCTTGGCCTCATGCCAGCATTAGCTGCAATTAAGTGACTATTTTCCATCTTCATAAGTGCACCGCCTAAAATCCCATTATGTGTCATGAGTCCACTAGTCATTCTTTGACTTTCCTCCTGAATAAGCATTGAATATGCCTGATCAAGTGAGGGTGTATCATTAAAATTTGGCTCCTCTGTGGTGCATAAGTTTCATTCAGCCTCATTAAGTACTTCACAAGTTTTTGTGTATGCAGAAATTCTACAAAAGTTTTAGATCTTTCACAGTCACAGCTGGGAAAAGAAATGATTGATTCAAATTCATCACATAGGTTATTTAACTTTGAGAAATAGACAGATATACTAGAAATTCCTTGAGTTAAACAGCTGATTTTCTTGTCCATGTGGTAGATCTTAGAAGCATTTATCTTATCGAAACAAGTTTTTAGGGCTTCCCAAACCTTTTTTGCATTTGATGAAAAAATAATGCCTCGCCTCAATTCCTTCGCAATAGAGCTCACAATCCACGATTTGTACTATTGCATTGCACCGGTCCCACTGATGTAGTCGAAATGGATCTGTCTCATAATCCTCTCACACACAGCTTCCATTGACGAAACCGATTTTATTCTTCACTAGCAGTGACATTTTCATTGATCGACTCCATTCCGAATAATTCTTTGTTCCTATCAGCAATTGCGGAACAAGCGAAACACTAGGTGTATCGGACGGATGAACATATAGCGGATCATTACAATCAAGCAATTGATTGTTTGCATATGATGTTCTAGCTGTATCTTGAGGACTATCCAAGGCCATTTTGACAAAAAAAATAGAGTTCGGAGAAAAAATTAGGGTTAAAAAAATTAGAAGAACACAACGAAGAAGAGGAAGGAATGAAGAATTGAAAAAGGAATTCGAAGGATTTAGAGACTCATCAGCTCGAATCACAGTTAACCATGCTCTGATACCATGTTAAATGAGCACTAAACCTGTCATTGATGAGCAATCGAAGCTCTGTGACGAGAAGAAGAAGGAGTGGAGAAAAAGAACTTTTTCTCATTAACCGAAAACTAAATTGAAATGCAATGTACAAGTGTACTTTTATACATTTATTAACTCTAACCTCCACTAACTAATAATACATCTGTCATACAACTAACTCTCACTAACCTTCTAGAAACCTACTACTTAATAGCACAATGTACAATCACTACACATTATACATCTCAACAATTATTTACAATTTAATAATTTAGAATTCAGTAATTTAAAATGCTTAGAATTCCAAACCCATAAGCTTGAAATTTTAGCTTTGCCTCTGCTAAAACATTACTCCCATACGTTATACCATATCATTTGTCTTTTATAAATATCATATGTCACCAAACATTACACGAGAAAAATGATTTAAGAAGTAATTACTGAAGGAAAATATTTTATTATTAATCTCTGAAAGCTCTCTACAATTCTTTATCTTTCCATACACAAAATAAGTTATTAATACCTATATTTATAATAGTACGACACCTATTTTAATTAGAAATAGGAAAGTCTATTCCTATATTTATTCTGACTACAGATCCTATTTAGACATGAATTAAATAAATTAGCAAATACCGAATCCTAAATAATTAAGGCTTCCTACTACAACTTTGAATTAGTTTTCCAACATTCTCCCGTAATTCAAAGTTGTATGTCTGACTTGTTTGTATTGTTGTCTTGGAACACTTTTCTCCAAATTCTACTTCTGTTGAAGCACATGTCTCAAACCCTCGTTGATGTATTTTGTCACCAACATCCAGTTTTGTTGAGGCACCTGTCTCCAACTCCCGTTGATGCACTTTGACACCAACACCCGATTCTATTGAAACACCTGTCTCCAACTCCCGTTGATGCACTTTGTCACCAACTGTTGATGCACTTTGTCATCAACACCCAATTTTGTTGAAGCACTTGTCTTCAATACCCGTTGATGCACTTTGTCACCAACACTCAATTTTTTTGATTTTTTTATTTCTCACCCAGTATCCGGTACTCACATTGGGGCCCGACTAATCCGGATTTGCATCGCGAAATCCCACATTTAGGGGTAAAGCGCTCCCTAACAAAGGCGACTCCATACCCAGGACTCAAACTCGAGACCTCTGGTTAAGGATGAAGTAGTACTTACCACTCCATCACAATCCTTGTTGGTACCAACACTCAATTTTGTTGAAGCACGTAATCAACTTCCAACTTTTTTAAACCTCTCTCCAACTTTTAGAGAAGAGTTTTTTCCTCTTGTGCAATATTTGTTTGCACCCCTTTAAACTTGTTTTCTTTCTTTTCTTGAACCCGTCTTGAAATTTTTCACCGAATAATCTAATTTTGTTGACAACTCTCTGTGATTTTGCCAACATATTTTTTGGTCGGACGGGCGGCACACATTGCCTAGCGCTGCCCGCCGACAGCGGAAGCTACTTGTTCTCTCCCAAGATCGTAGAAGCTCCGATATCAATATGAAGAAATATATCTTACTATAAATCTCTTATTGATCTCTACAATTCTTTATTTCCTTTTCACATAAAATAAGTTATTAGTACTTCTATTTATAATAGTACAACACTTATTTTAACTAAAAATAGGAAAGCTTATTCCTATATTAATTCTGACTACAAATCTTATTTAGACATTAATTAAATAAATTAGCAAATACTGAATCCTAAATAATTAAGATTTTCTACTATAACTTTAAATTAGTTTTCCAACACTTACCCTAAAAAATTAGTAAATAATTTCCAAAAGGTTTAGTAAATAATTTCCTTCTTACAACACTTATATTAGAAATTAGTGAGGAATTGCTCGTGCTAAGGACGGGCCCAACAACACATTTTTTTGTGGGCATGTCAAATTCTAAACTGAACATAGTAGCTATTTGGACTACACCTGCTATATGCAAGGGTAATAACTTCACAATCCTTGAGGATAATAATAAACCAAGCAGATAGCTATCTAGCTTAGTAATCAGAATCGTCGTAGATATTGAACAAAAACTGAGGTCATGACGCAATTCTTGAAAGATTTAGCAACAGATCGCCTACCGAGTCTTTTCTTGACATTTACCGAGTTGGATCATTTGATTCATACTCTACTGCAGCAGAATCTTCAGAATCTTCAACCTTCTTTCCACTTTTTGTTGCGGGAAAGAAACTGATCAATTCATCAGTTCTTTCCTCCAACTGCAACATCAACACAATTCTCACTCTTATTAACTGTAATAGGATCCTTCTGAAGAAGACAACATAGAGAATTGACCCTTGTCCAGAGGGATTTCTCATCTGCTGACATATTTTGAGTGTTACTAAACAAGCAATTCCAAATCCTCTTCAGCTGACAGCCTTTTGGTATTTCAGTTTTCCGATAAGAGTCAAATGTAAAACTGAGTGAAAAAAATGATAGATTTTCTCATACTCTTTGTTTTTTTAAGATGAAAGTATATCGGCAAAATAGAAATCTCAAATGCTAAATTACAATAAGATGCTAAATTCATTCATTTCCTACTATCTACTATCATTCCCACAAAGACAAATACGTTGATTAAGCAAAACAGCGGCCACATGTTAATAGATGGGTAGTCTCATGAAATGTACACTTTTCACATACAGCTTGGCCCTAATATATAGAGCTTAGACATGCCGAGCAAGCTGCATCAAAGATTTATGATGATAAAAGACAATAATAGCACTTAATAAAGACGCCAATGTGCCAAGTTAGACAAGATACATATTTGAGGGACGGGAATGCAAAGATGTTTTGCACCTTAGTCATATTGAGCAAACATCTTGCATTACAGTAATGGTTACTGTTATTTGTCCAAATAGAAGTGTTGTCACAAAAGCGTTGAAATGTGTGAATTTGATTGAATGATAAGAGGAGTAAAATATCTACAGAGAAGATACTGCATATCCCAATATGAGAATGAAAGCTGGAAAGGAAAAATGAGGAAGTGTATCCATGAATTATTTACAATTACAGCATATATGTACCAACATAATTAAGGGAAACATATTTTACTCATTCAACTATTTAATTTACATTCTTTTGTCTTAAGATATAAACATAGTACTACTCTATATATTCTAGTTTTAGAGAAGACAAATTATGTGAACAGAACATTGAGAGGAAATTAAAGAGAGAGAAACAAAAAGAGCTCTCCAATGTCCTTCATTTCAATTTTTTCTTTATGTAAAATATTTATGGCCTTTCATGTTTTCCCTACAAGAGGACTAAACTGTTGTATGAATGTTATTATTTCCTCCGATAAAATTTCATATAAAGGAAAGAAATCTGAACTAATACAAATGAACTTGGAAGGGAAAAAAGTAACAATACTGAAAACTAACTTCAAACGTCGATAATTCCATTTTAGATAATTATTCCAATCTTTAATATGCCTAATACACACAAAGAACCTAGTATATCAAATGATTCATAAATGTAAGAAGTGATACCTATTTGACTAAGATAAAATGCCAGTCAATACAAAAATTATGTAGGCTACCAACTTTGAGAAGAAAAGGCACAAATAAATATTCAGAAACATGCTAGTAGCAAGACAAAGCAGATTCAAATATAACCAAAGTCCAACAGAACTACCGCAACATATCAATGTAGAAGAAGGTGAAAGTTACCTTTCATTGGCACAAGAAAATCTGAATCAAGAACAAGCGACTCGTCTTCTTCTGGAAACGAAAAGGGAAAAAACAAAGCAACTAAAGTAAGACATTCGGTCTAAAAATACCTTGCAGTTCTGATTAACCTAATCCATAAGATATCATCATTGCCCTGTTTAAATTTCGACGTTTGCATAGAACTTCAGTCTGGAATGTTATAAATGAAAATTCAGCAGTTATCCAATTCAACAAATATCGGAAATCTATGAAACTACAGGAAGCTCCTTTTCAAAGTTAAAAAAAAAACACTCCATGAGAAAGTGAATCACCCTTTGGCCAGAGTAGGTAACTGACAACATGTGCAGATTTTTCCTATTTTGGTAAACAACAAGATCTTTTATCGCACAATTTTTGTGGAACGTCAACATACTCAACAAGAGTTATGCCTGTTTTTAAAATTCTATGTTTTGATGTCTAATTTCTGCAGTTTGATATTTTAATTCTACTATTTAGAACTCTTGCACCTTGTCGTTAACTTGAAACTTGACTCACAGATGCGTGAGTCAAGTTGTAACAATTGACAACATAAGACAAATTGTAAGTGCAGGCCGCATAAAAATATACTCATGTTGGCTTTGCAGTGAAAGTACCTAAAAGAAAGTTAACGCTGACCTGCCTAGCACCTATGAGTAGAACAAAATCCTACAGAAGTAAAAGTATCAGTACCTATCCCTATGTTGATTAAAGAATTTTCATAATGACCTGACAAAATAGAAACAGAAACCAAAAATCAGCTTGGCATATATTTTGACAGCATGGATAATAAATGCTAGTAGCATCAATGACAAATTAAATATGAACATGTTTGAAATAGTAAAAGTTTGTGGCGCTTGAGAACAACACGAAACTCACCCGGGAAAACTGAAAGATCCTGAAAGCATGTAGTTCAGAGAAAATCGAAGAAAGAATAAGCTGAAAGTAAATCATGCTTAAATGCATATGAATGAAGTGATAACAATGATGATTCCTAATGACCATCCCAGAAAAAACAATCGACTAGAAAATAATCAAGTGGAGAGAACAAGTAGAGTGAACAGAGGAAGCGTACCTGAGAGAAGAGAATTTTTGAGATGGCGAACTTTCGAATGTGGTAGATTGATAGGAGAAGATTTATCAAACCAGTTACTCCCGAGGTGTAAAATTAGGAATTCACTTGCTAAGCCTCCAATATAGGCAGCCGAGTCTCGAAACATTGAACTACTCTGAAATTAGCTGATACAGACTGCTGAAACGTCAAAAAAAAATTTAGCCCCATAGCTATTTAGACTTTCTTCTCCCTAAATTGTTAAGCATTAATACGGTCCAAAGTTTTGAAGTACCATCCTTTGCTGTCAATATTCGAAAATACAAATCAAAGTGGAAACGAACTGCAGAAGCTTGCGAAATATTACAAGTATGAAGGACAGTAAGAGAATCCAAATCAAAGTGAAAAAGGACCAAATAATTGGGCAGAAAATAGTGATGACAGATTACTCACCTCAGTTAAAGAAGAAACTCATAAATCGAACAAGGAAACCAAGGTAAATGGTCACGAAAAAGTAAAACAGAAAGCAAAATAAAATGAAGCACACAATTAGATACAATCTCAAGTAGCCACTTCGTTGTTGTAAGGGCAGTAGGACAAATTTAAGTGTAGCTGAAAGAGTAATTTTATCAAACAACTACGGGAAAACCTGGAGAAGGAGAAGAAGAAGAAGAACAAAGCACTTGGTACTAAACAGAAGCAGAGCAAAGAAATGAATTAAGAAGCGGTTGGAGATAGAATTGAGAAGCAGTGCTTTCTACAACAGCACCTGAAATGACAAAAATGCCCCTGCTCATCCTCACTTATATATATTAGATATTAGATATTAGAAATAAAATCTTTAGAGAACGAGTGAGTTGAGAGTTGGTGTAGTTATCAACAGGGAGAAATCGATAAAAATATTATCCAATAATATGATTCAATTCTCACTTAATCTTTTCATTTGTCTCTCTCATGTCCAATCTACTCCTGATATGTACACTAAAAAATAAAGACTATAATTACTAAAGATAAAAGTTTGACTAGGACCTCACCATTCTTCTATTCACGAGATGCAAGTTGCCACGTTTTTTTTCTCTTTCAAGAAGAGTAGAGAAAAAGTATACGAGAATAATGTAGATAGAGATATTACAATGGATTCTAGTCGGGGTTGGTGATTTCGTAATCAAATTGACTACGACAACATACTTAGTGTTGTTTAAGCCAAGTGGGGTATGGAAAGAGTGGGATATACACAAATCTTACGTTTATTTTGTGTGAGATAGAAAAATTATTTCTGATAGCAAATCGATTTAAAATACACAAGTAAAAAAAACTAAGATCAAAATACAAAAGAAAGAAAAGTAACGACAGAATAACAGTAGTGATACAATTGAATAATAATAATACGGAGAAGAAGGAGCAGATAAAGTGCTCTAAATTAGAATAGTCTCTTACACAAAAAAGAAAGAAATCGTTCGATTACCTACTAACTTTGTATCCTAATTTTTAACTTCCATGCTCTCCTATCTAGGTTCACGTACTCGGTGAACTGAAGATATATCATGTATCATCTAATCAGCTCTCCCCAATTCTTCCTCGGTTTACCTCTACCTCTATCTCTCCTAGAGTTGTTACTGCCAACCTCTCTTACTTTCTCGACATTCATATTCCTCTTCTTTACATGTCTAGTCTAATCACTTCTCCCGATCAAATTGACTAATTGGACTAAAAGTTCGAACATTTGACGGAAATGCTAACATGATGATTTTAATGACAAAATGAAATATGGAAAGAAGAAACTAGACGAAATTGACAAAGGCTAGTTTACTGCAGAAGATATTATCCAAATGGCAAAAGGTTAAAAACAAATAAGTAACTTAGTTAGCTAGATGGCGACTAAAGGTATTGAGTTGGATGTACAAAGGTCAATAATGAAAAGGACCAAGTTAATATTATATCTCTTTATGTTAATATTAGCCACATTTAGATTTTACTTTCACTATTTCTATAAAGAAAATTGCAATTGACGACATTTTTAAAGTTTCTTAATATCTCAATGTTAATTTCTAAAAAAAAAACAATTTAGCCCAGTTAATTCCAAGTATTGATCAAATTTACATTTTATTAGCGAAAAAGCATCAAAATTAAGGATAGAGTATTAGTTTAATTTTCTTGATTTGATTAAGAAATGTAAATCCTCCTACCCTACGGCACGGAATTAGTACATTATTCTTCATCAGGAACAGGAAGGAAGTAGGAAAAATATTTAAATGAGCATTTTCCGTAGTTCAAGTAAAAAAGAAGTCAATTTCTCTACTTCTACCCGAAAAGAAGGAAAAGAGAGAGAAGGCCATAAATTCATATTCATAAATAGAAATACTTAACTCACTTATCTTGGTTTTCTTCCCTTTTCTGACAAAAGTTTGAGTAGATTGAAATGAACGACATATTAAAAACTATAAAAGAATATTTCAAAACTAAATAAAGTAAACCCTCTAACATATAGTACGTAGTAGGGATATGACATACATTTACACTGTAACTACGAGGCAAAATCTTAATCGTTGCTCCATTAACTATCCTAATTTCACCTTTAATTACCTCAATTTTTTCAGAGAAGCTTAGCATGAATATACTGCAAATTTCTATGTTTCTTTGCTTTAAATATTAACATCTCTAATTTCCCAATTGCGCACACTTCCAGTTTATTCAGGAAGAGTATGTCGTTAGTATATTCGAGAATTCAAGTGCTACAAGTAAATAGCGCTTTGTGTCACGGTAACTCTGAGTTTCTGGGTTAAATTAATTAAAAGAACTTAAACCAATAATTTAAGAAGATTGTATTACTCCATATAATTAAAAGTACCATGATTTTTTTGTTCTGGTCTCGTACTAGAGAAAATATTATTCTACTGCTTTGTCTGAAAAGTACCTAATAAAAACAGCTTAAATTTCATATTAACTACTCCAATATTAATGGAGAATTTCAGTAGTTTAATTAGTTGGCTACTTGAACTTTCACATTATTAGTATACGGGTAAAATTCTACACCTTGTAATTCACTTCTCCCATGTAATAATTTGTTTAAACAAAAAAAAAAAAAAAA